TTCAGATATATACTTGCATCGTATATACATCTGTATAATATCTTAAGTCATATACTTATCTATTTTCGCGAAGAAATAACAAATAGATAAACTAAAAAAAAATATTTGATACTCATTTCATGAACTTATGAATTTATAATCTTGGATATCGGAAACAAAATTTTATAAAAACCATAATTTCCTCTTTTTATTTATGCAAGCTGTCGAATAAAAAAAATATTTATCACCTCTATCTATAGAGATAGCGTAGATATATTATCGGTTATTTCGACGGCCAATTTTTCAGCTATTCCACCAAAAAAAGAAGCGAATTGATTAACGTTTGAGCGTCATACATGACAAGTGCAGCATGAATATAACGATATGTGAATAATGACGATTGGTCGGAGCGGTGGCGCGGGGAGAAAGGGAGAACTTCGATTTCATCCGATAATATACATTGCCGGTCCAAGAAGCGTTTAATTGAATAGCCGTTATTCGACGCGAATTATAACATGATTATTGCGGTGCGGCTCGTGCGGTGTTTCATGCACTAACGGCCGCGAACGTGGATATGGTCGAGCTAGATTAGCGCGCGAGGGACGAAGGATGCACTTATACTGATTAAAAAAAGAAAAAAAAATGCAAAAATATACTTGTCGCTGGAATGCTTTTAACGAATTAATATTCCCGCCCACCCCTTCCCCTCTCCCCTTCCCCTCTGGCACTTTTGCGATACAATATTTACTTTTGCTCCGTAAGTCGTGTTTGCTCGCGTGTGTGTAGGCGGTCCCTATGCCGCTTAAATCATTTGTCGCAATTTAATAGAATGAAAAATAAATACAAATAACGCGAACTTTAATTACGGCGTTAATTATCCTCGCTCGCTGTAGCTTCTCTACCGGCTGGGGAGTAAGTTTCGGGGTTATTATCGAATCTTCCGAAATTATTCGCAAAAAGTGCGGCTATTAATCAATATCACTCACTCGAGAATTATGAAAATCTGCGATTTATGGCAAAGACAATAATTGTTCTTTATTCATATGCTCTAATGTCGTCGCTTATAACTTCCTATTATATATACATTAATATTTCGCGTATTATCTCGCGACTTCAATAAGGGGAAGTAATTTATCGAATATAAGCATTACCGAATATGATAAGATTGTCGAAAGTTTTCAAACTCATGGTTTAGTCGGAAAAATATCCGGTTTAGTCGGAAAAATTCCCGGATACAAAATATACGGCTGAAGGGTTAAATTCAACGATAGGTCGACTTCGAAGAAAAAAGGTTTTACCATCATGCGAACGCAGCGATGGGAGGTTGTCGTTGTCATCGTCAACGACGACGACGACGAAACGGAAACATGTGCCAGGATAGAAAAAGGACGACTGCGTACGACGGCCCGAGAGGAATAGAGACCGAAAGGCAAAGAGAGAGAGAGAGAGAGAGAGAGAGAAAGAGAGAAAGAGAAAAAAAGAATGAACGACGAAGAGTAGAGAAAGGGGAGGAAGAGATACCGCTGTGGAAAAATATAACCTGTTGGACCGCGAAAGAGCGAGAGCCGCGTAGGCAGGCACATGATGGAGAGAAGGACAAGCACAGGAGAGATTGGAGAGAAAGAGAGAACGGATCTGTGAGAGGGAGACCTCGGTAGAGCGGGACAGCCGCGATGAAAGAAGAAAGGGAAGGACGAGGAGAGACGACGAGGGCAAACGAGTGAAACAAAGAAAGAGAGAGAGAATGAGAGAAAAAGAGAGAGGGAAGAAGGACGCGTGCAGGCATCCCGAACCTGCCTCAACTTCGACTCGACTTTCGCGGTTCGATTCTGATCCGATCGATCTAGCTCGTCGGAGGTAGCACATATCTGTTATTATTTACACTTTGCTTTCGCTCACTGGCATAATGCTGTTAGTATGTACTGTTTTTCTGCGCTCGCCTCCTCGCTCTTTCATCATCCCCTCCTCGTTATCTTAGAAGTTTAACAAAACGACTAACGGACCGCGTTCCAGGGGCGGGAGGGGTAACTTCTGTTTTCCGAAACTTCGAAGGACACAATTCGTTACATTCCTGATGTTGTGCTTAACCCAACATGTTTCGAGACACGATGATGGTAACGTGTATTGTTCCATACTCCTGGCGCAAATTTAAGTCTTCATTCGCGTTTCGCGTAGTTGTTTCTTTCCATGAATATTATTGATGCAATATATACAGATAATGTTTAATAATACAATAATTCTAAAAAATTGAGATTTTTATGAAACAAAAATTATATATATATAATGCCAAAAAATTTTACTCAACGCGTTCTACTTTTAGTGGCTTAACTTATTGATTGAAAAATTCAATTTAATGCGTCTAGAGAAATGATTCCTTTTATATATCTCGCATTTGTCAAACAAGATAGATCTTGGCATGAATATGAATCGCGAAAAAATGGATAAGCGCATATTTAACATAAATATGCAACGGGAATCGAAACAGAGGTATGAGTGACGGCATGAAAAAGGAATATAATTCGAATGGTGTCATCGGGAGCAATTTACACTGCGCCGAGCACGTCGATCGATAAATTAACGAGGCGTGTTCGATATGCGCTCACATTTTTATCGGACCCGCTCGTCGTGGAACCGCGTTTCGACGGCTGTTATATTATCACTCTGAAAATCGCATAGACGGATATTCGAAAAATTGTTAAGAGACGTACTGCTGTTGTAATTCGTTTCAGTTACGAACGCTTTGGTCCCTTTCTGCGCCGATTTTCACTTTATCGGCCGATAAACGCGCAGTTTTTTAATCGCGCTCGCGATATGAACAAAGATTAACGGCGAGGAAAAGGATAAAGCAGATGTTTCGAATATTGTTTAGCACTTTGTATTATTGCTCGTTTTGGTTCCGCACTATTGGCAGATTTGTTTAGGAAATCACTTTCTTATATGTATATTCAACTTTCTTTATAAAAATATTTGAGAGAGAACTGCATATATATATATATATATA